TGAATAAATAGGGGTAAAAATCTCAAAGAGTTATAAAGTTTGCCAAATATAGTTAGGAAAATAAAGGGGAATATAACCAAGACCCAGATATTTAAATAATTCCCAGCACCCATTACTGACCATTGACGTCAGACCATCTGTGTAGGGCAGGGGCCTGACAGAGAGCAACTTGTCCAAGGTCACACACCAAGTTAATAACAAAGCAGGATCCAAAATCCAGGCTTCCTGAATCCTAATATAATCATCACCATACCAAGAATGCATAAATTAATACATGTGGCTTAGGGCTTCCCTGGTGGCTCAGGTGGTAAAGAATCTGCCTGCAATGCAGGAGAGCCAGGTTTGATTCCTGGGTAGGGAAGATCCTCTGGAGAAGGGAATGACAACCCACTCCAGTGTTCTTGCCTGGGAAATCCCATGGACAGAGGAGCCTGGTGGGCTATAGTCCATAGGGTCGCAAAGAGTTGGACATGATTGAGCGACGAACACAGGCCAAAGAGGGTGTTTATTCAGTTGATATAACGTCAAACTCATGACATCTATAGAGCAAAATTGCTGTAAGTTGCAGCAGGTGCACTGATCCTGGTGAGTTTATGATACCACGTTGGTCAAAATCTTCTTCTGTGTTTATTGAGAGAAGAAACAAGCCATGATGCTCCTTTTCTGCTTCCCAAGAAACACAGGTGACTGATTCCTCTGCACATGGTGGGATGAAGAAGCAGGCTTACTGGGCAGCAGCCCCCAAGGCTAGTCTGTAGGACTGTCTAAGTCCTGGGCGCCACTGACAGGATGGAGAAAGCTGTACTTAGAACGCTTCTCAGAGAGGGAGCCAGTTGTGTTGGAAGAATCAGTCTGATCAAGTCGCTCAACACCCCCATGTTATCTCCCTCCGCCTCCTCAGCAAAGGGCAGAGTTAAGTCACAATGGGTGATGCTGAAGTACTTTGCAGCAAGGATGTGAGAGATGGTCAGGCTGGAGTGGTCATTTCAGCCAGTGAGTGGACCTGAGGGAGCATGGCCACCAGGGAGCCTCCTCACGCCCCCTTTCGTAGCCCATTCCTCTAAGCAGTGCTGACAACATGTTAAAGACTCACTCCTTAATGGTGCACTGGTTTCTGAAAGCTTCCAGGGTGTCCTGGACTGGCCCTATTATCACAGAGAGTCTGACCAACCACACCAATGATGGATGCATGAGTGTGGTCCAGTCCTGAAGCAGAGAAAGAATGACTTAGATCCCGAGGTCCTTTATAGTTGAAGATTCTAGGCCAATGATGGAAAACGAGATCAAAAAATTCTAATAACTCTCATAAAATATACCAAATGAAATTTTTTACAAAGCCCATCCCCCCCCCCTAAAATTTTGGCTGTAATGTGTGCTAACAGTCAAGTTCAGCTCCATGCAATTCTTACAACAGAATTAACTGCCCAGCCCTAAAACAAAAGAGCCTGAATTGAAATCAGACTCCAGTGGTGCACTTAATTAGTCCTGTGAGCTTGCACTTGATATTTAATCCCTTTGAGACTCACTTTTCTCTTCTGTATAATTGCAGCAACAAAATTAATTGCTGGAAATTTAAATGAGATGGTGTCCTAAAAATACTGTCAGAGTGCGTGACACACAAGTACTCCATAGATATGAGTGAATTAATAACTAGTGCATTAATAAATGCTAGTGAATGTTACTAAGTAATAATCTATAAAGCTTTATATGAAATCTTTATGAGGGTGATAACACATGAGAGATAGCTATTTGGCCTTGAGATCAGTGTATATGTGAAAAATTTATAGTCAGCAAATAAATTTATTCACAAGAGATATATTCTTTTTTTTTTTCAAGAAAAAATCCCAGAAGGAGTTAGTGAAAACTTGCTCAAGAATTCTTAATATAATCAAATGTAATATGAAATATATATCATGCACAAGCCCATATTGAATCTGTAAACTGAAATCTCACAAAATCCCACTGGGACTCTCCAGGGAGGAATAACAACCTTTAGTTAACTATTACATCAAACTTTTCACTTTTTATTAACATCCTCCAAGAAAGTATCAATTCCTTGGAAACACAAAAAGAGTGTGCATATAATGTCAAAATATGTGCATAATATATATATGCACACCTGTATCTACACATACACGAATATATATAATTCCACATTGCATAGATATATTAAATTTTTGTGAAAATTACTTTAAATGTTCTGGTAAATTATGTGTGGCAGTAATTGTGTTCAGACTGCTTAGAAACACAGAAGCAACAGCAATTGTCGGGAAATCAGAGGACTGGTCCAGTTGACTGACACATTGCTCATGGAAACAAAAACTACACAGCAGAAGGAAGTGGTTATCTTGATCTTTCAAACTAACCCTGGTCTCCAGTCAGCAGTGCATTTGTTTTAGCAGGTGTTGGAAAATATCCATGGTGAACTGGGAAGGACACAGGACCAAGACTTGGAAAACTGGCCACGTAACTTAATTAAGAAAGTCAAGTGACTTTTCCGCAGTCCTAGTTTCCTCATCTGTATAATAGCTATAAAAATTCCACCCTGCTTATTTCAGGAGGACGATCTGGTCCACTCCCTCATTCCCCACATGAGAACACTGGGGAGTGAAGTGAATCCCTTAGGGTCACATAGCTGATTAGTGAGAGAATCAGGACTAGAAATAAGTCTTTTGAAGTCTTGGAGTTTCTGCAGTAACAAAGCTGCCATTGAAGCATCAGATAGGAAAGGGCTTTGAAGAATGTAATGTAAGGGTTTTCTTCAGTAGAAATCTTATGGATTTAAATCACAGTCAAGATCAACATAAAGCAATCAGTTCAGAGATGACTTTTAAGACTGTACCTGTATGTTTAGCAACAGGCATCCTTTTTTAAAAATAAAATACAATCTGCATCTTTTCTCAACCAAGACACAAAATGTAAACAATTCCCTGAATTAATTCAGACCCTGAAGTGGATTTTCAATGACTTGACTTGCCCAAGCAAGCTCTCTGCAAAGCCTAAATTAATCAGATAATTGCCAATACACCCTTTTGTTTTCTGTTGAAAAAGTGTGTGTTTGTTAGAATGAGCCTAGTAGCAGAATAATAGTCATTAAAAAAAATTTTAAGTCCCAAATCAGAACTAAATGACCAAATTCTTAAGCACACTGTTTCTTTAGGCATCTTCTCCAGTCATTAATTTAAAAGTTTAATTTTCTTTATCCTAATGTGAACATTATTGCTGTGGTTGTGATGTAAAGAGGACTTTTTCACCAAACGAATGAAAAAAAAATCAACTTAAGCTGATCATTCAGGATTTTGTGAACATGCTTTGTCACATTGTCAGTAAAACAAAAATTTAAATGCCTGTCTTGGCATGACTAAAAAACAGGAGTTAAATCTTTTAAATTCTTACTGATACATCTTAAAAACAAAGCCAGTTTGGTATGGTTTTAAATAATCTCCACTTAACAGCTATCAGTTTTAAAACTAAGTAAACAATGCTAATTATGCTCCTTCAAATATCAAGAGGAAAATTTAGAAAGTAATTTAATTAATTGGCTCTGAAAAATTAATTACACATGAAATGAGGCTCATTAGGCCCTTCCGGTCTCATCAGAATTTCTGACTAAAAAATAACTGATCTCATCACTTATACTTGCTTTGTGAGATGGCATTAAATAGACTACCGTGATGATACATACTCTACCCAAGTAAAACTAAGACCAAAACATTAAAATGAGCTAATATGAACATGGTGCTCTTAAATTTCCACTGTGCATGCATGATCATTGAATTGACAAGTTAACTTGCAAATTCAGTACAGCCATATACTTTTTTGCCATACTGAGCGTTAAATAAAGGGAAAATGGGACTAAAAATCGTGTAACATCATAACTATTGATCACCCAATTTTCATAAACAGTTGGCAAATTTTAACTCACAACAGCTGTCACTGCATTAAAAGTACATGTCAGTTTAGGAATATTAACCTCCGGGATGTGTCTGCACTTGAGGCTTGTGCAAAGGTTCCAGAAGATCACCAGAGGATTTTTTTAAACCAAACTCAGCACAACCTAACCCTCCCTGTCTGACAATTCTTTAGTTTTACCCAGAAAAGGGCTTTAATCGTACTTGAATGGCTCTCCAGTGCTTCCTTGGAGGGGACATACCGCATAAGGAAACGTATTTCTTGGGTCGGCATCTTGGAGGTGAGAGAGTAAATTAAGAAACAGTGTTACCAGAGATGCAGTGCTCTTTCTATGAGAAAACAGGGAAGCATTGGCATCCATGGAGTCCCTCCGCCTGTTTACTAAGTAAAGCAACTTGTAAATACTTAGAGCAATTACAGCCTGCAGACCTCGGGCTCTGCAGCGGCGGGGGAGATGGCTCAAGTTAGCTCCCTCCCCTTCGGTCCTGTTGGAACAACTCATTTCCAAGTAAAATGTGCGCGGCAGATTGCAAACCCTTTGTACAAACTACCAAACCGACCCCGGAGTATCGGATTTCCTTTCATCCACACACACACACAGAGTACTCAAGGACAGAAATGCTCGTGGCCCCCTAGACTAAAACCCTCTTTTCTGAGAACATGCAGGAAAAGTGCACCGAAAGCCACAACAAATAGAAATCGCTGTACCTTCAACGTGCTGAAGTCTTTCCAAGGACTCACCACCCTTTTCGGTAACTGAGTTTCTCCTTGGCAGCCCTTCTGCGCCCAACGCTTGTACCTTCCGAAAAATGTATGTCGGCACAAGCCCAGACGAAACCTCCAACCAGGGAAAAGAAAATGAAGCCTGCAGATCAAAGGCAGACGAGCAGGGAGATGAAATGCCCGTAATCTGATCGGTGATCAGTTGCCGCACATCAAAGGCAGGCCAAGTTGCTCTGTGTGCGTGTGTGTGTGTGTGTGTGTGTGTGTGTGTGTGCGCGCGCGCGCGCGCTCAGGGCTCTCGGAACGCTCCTTTCAAGCAGGTAGCCGCCCCCGCGCCTCCCCGCCCTCGGATTCTTTTGTTTGACCTGGATCCCGCCGTTCTCCTCTTCCCTGGCACCCAGGAGGCCCCCGCGGTGGCCCCCGGCCCGGGCTGAGAGTCTGGGCCCGCGGCGCTCGGGCCCCCGCGCTGCGCCCGGGCTGCGCGCTGGGAGCCTCGCCTGGTGCCAGCCGGCCGCGCCGGGGCCCTTTCATCTCGCGGAGCCGCGGGTCCCATGACCTCACCGCTGCCTGGCAGGACGGCCGCCCGCGGGGAGCGCGCCCGGGGGCAGGGCGGCCGCCTCCGATCGCGCCGCGCGCCCGCGGCCCCAGCGGCAACGCCTGGCCGCTGCTGCGGGGCCACCCGGTGGGGAGCGGACCCCCGAGCTGTGCTGGCTGCCAGAGACACAACGTTTATCTGCCCCTTTCTCGGAGGAACCGCGGTGCGTCCCGCAGAGCTGGCGTCCAGTCTCCAGGATGGTTCCAAGGAGCAGTGGGGACCCCGAGGGAGAAAGTGACCTCTCCGGCCTTCCCTGTGACCAGTCCTTACGGGTTTTGAGTAACCTGTCTTTCCTTGAAACTTAAATTATTACACGTTGCAAATTAATCACCGGCGCTTTAATCAAAGTCATTAACGAGCAGATAACTAAGTTACCCAGTATTTTGATATCTCTCACCCTCTCACTTAAGCCACTGGGCCCGACACAGTTTTGATCTTAGTTTAGGATTCAAAAATTAGATTTTAAAACTACATGTACTTCTTAGATAGGTGTAATTCATTAACACCTATTGAGTATTTAAAATTCACAAAAGAAGGACTTCTGGTGGTCCAGTGGTTCCCAGTGCAGGGCACCTGGTTTGATCCCTGATGGGGGAACTAGATCTCACATAACTAAGGCCTGGCCCAGTCAATTAAATAAAATAAATAAATATTAAAAAATAAAATTCACAAAAATAAAGAAGGCTGTGTTCCTTGCCTTTTAGGGCCATTTCTCCTAAACCCATAGTTTGAACACTAAAAGTCATCACATTTAGTCTATTTATTCATATTTTAACCTGAAACTTACTACATATTATTTAGAATTGTCTGACTATCCATCCTGAGCAACAGCAGATTCAATAAAATAAGTTTATTTTTAGTATTTATCAAAATAGAAAATAATTTCAAAATTTCATCTTACAATCCAGGATACAGTGCATTTCTGAATTCCAGGCCACTCTTCTATGGCCTGAAGGAAATTTTTCTGTTTTCTAATGGCGACTTGCCAACCTTTAGAAGTCAGTTAAAAATATTTTGTAAAACTTAGAAGACAATAGAATTTAATTTATATACATTATAAACTCCTCTTCCTAATTAGTTTCATCTAATTCTTTCCTCATGTGATTTTTGAAAATGTAGTTTATGGTGTGTTTATTTCCAGATGTCTGGGATTCTCAAACAAATTTTGATAGCAAAATTTTTTGTTTCCACAGTTGAGTTCAGTATTTAACATTTAAGTAATCATTTCCCCCAGCATTTCTTGTATAATTTTCCTCCCCCACAGGTCATTTCTTGGAGATGCTTAGAGCTCAGATAGTATATGATCAATGTATGATTTCCTATGACTTCTCAAAAGTAACCAGGAAAACTCCTGTGATACTTGGACTCCAGGTAACATCACAGAGAATACCAAAAAGGACAAAATATTTCCCAGTGGTCATGTGTTCATTTCTTCTCTGAGGTAACCCAGCCTTGCCCCTAGTGTGAAATCCATATTCCACCAAGCAGCGCTCAGAAGTTATGTTTCCTGATACACCAACATATTAATTTATGAGCCCTAGATGCGAAGAAGACGAGGGTTCATTCAGGAAGATCCCCCTGAGGAGGAAATGGCAACCCACTCCAGTATTCTTGTCTGGGAAATTCCATGGACAGAGGAGCCTGGAGGGCTATAGTCCATGGGGTTGCAGAGAGTCGGACACGACTGAGCAACTGACCATACATAGATACACACAGATGCTCTGTGAGGCTCTTCAGATAAGCATGTAAAATCCTAATGTATCGATAGAGTTCAACACCAGTGGAAATTAGGTGAGGGGCCGAGTCAGGATTCTGACACTTCCACTGGAACCTGGCAGGATGCATTTGAAAGCAGGGACTTAAGTGAAAACCACTCAAGTGATCCTACATTTACACGAACCTCACCAAGGAAAATCTGTAGTTCAGAGTACGTCTAGAAATGTGATGATGATGACGCAATGGTGCGTGCACACCCAGTTGTGTCTGACTCTTTGCAACTCCAGGCACTGTGACCCGCCAGGCTCCTCTGTCCATGGGATTCTCCAGGCAGGAATACTGGAGTGGATTGCCATGCCCTTCTCCAGGGGATCTTCCCAACTCAGGGACCAAACCCAGGTCTCCCACATTTCAGGTGGATTATTTACCTCTGAGCCACCAGGGAAGCCTAGCAATGTGATATCATCTCCAAAGGAGGAGTTTATTCACCCAGTGGCTGAGAATTATTTTGAGTTGTGTCTCTTGTGGCCGAGAGCCCCCCCACATGTGAGACGACAGGAAGCGAGGTTAGGACCACCTACGTCACCTGGAGCAGAGTGTGGCTGAAGGCCCCCTGGAACGAGACTTGACCTCCTGACCCAGCCCACAAGGGCTGTGCCCACGGAGCCTCCTGCAATGTGGAGACGTGGCCACACCGTGGTTGCTTCTGCAGGGCTCCATGAAGGGGAGCTCCTGCACAGCTTTCCTCTCTCCCCTCTGGGAATCTTAGATTTGAGAAATTAAGTCATTTGCTAAGACATTAAGAAATATGTCAGCCGCCACTCTGTTATGATCCGGTTGAACAATACTGAATTGAAGTCTTTTATTTCTGATCCCTAGAGCCACGTCCTGCATAGACGGCATATCTCGTTCTCCTCCCCACGTCCTGTCTCCACCACCTGTCTGTGTCGTGGGTCTGGACCAATACTGACACATTATTATTATTATGTAAGATGTATTTATTTGTTGGCTGTGGTGGGTCTTCATTGCTGCACATGGGCTTTCTCTAGTTGCGGCGAGCGGAGCTACTGTATGTTGCCATGCGTGGGTTTTCTCACTGCAGTGCGAAGGCTCTGGGAGTGCAGACTTCAGCAGTGGCAGCGCATGGGCTCAGTAGTTGTGGCACACGGGCTTAGCCGCTCTGTGGCATGTGGGATCTTCCCGGAGCAGGGATTGAACCAGTGTACCCCACATTGCAAGGCAGATTCTCAACCACTGGACCACCAGGGAAGACCTGATACATTTTATTAGCTGAAATCCCTACTTCACACTAAAGGTCACTCATTGTGTTGTACAGTTCTTACAGATTTTAACAAAGGCATAGTATCCTGTTTCAGTCGGAATAATTTCACTGCCATTACAGAATTGTACAAAGAAGTTGTGTAGATTTTGACAAATGCAATGTCCTATCTCATACATAGAATTCTGATTGAGAGTCCATTGAACCTTTAGATCACACTGGGAAAAGCTGACATCTTAACAGTGGATCTCCCTATTCAAGGACTTAGAATATCTCTCCATTCGTTTAGATCTTCTTTGAATTCTTTGATCAGAGTTTTGTACTTTTCCTCGTACATATAATACATTTGAAAAGTTTTATACCTAAATATTTTAGTTTTGGGGGGTAGGTTGTTAAGATAAATGACATTGTGTTTATAATTTCAAGTTTCAGTTGTTCAGTGGTTGTATATAGGAGCCCAGTTGACTTTTGTGTATTATATCCTGCAACCTTGCTCTTATCACTTACTTGTTCCAGGAATTTTTCCATCATTTATTTGAGTCAGTTCTTTGGGATTGTCTATAATAATCATGACATCTGTAAACAGAAAAAAAATTTAATTTCTTCCTTCTCAATCTGTTGACTAAGAAATTGTAAATGTGTATTGCAAGCTCTAGGTGCATATGTGCATACTGAGTCACCTAAGTCATGTCTGACTCTTTGTGACCCCACGGACTGTAGCCCTCAAGGCTTTTCTATCCATGGGCTTCTCCAGGCACGAACACTGGAGTGGGTAGCCATTTCCTCCTCCAGTGGATCTCCCCAACCCAGGTATGAAACCCATGGTCTCCTGCATTGGCAGGCGGATTCTTTATCACTAGTGCCACCTGGAAACTTTCCTTTTCTCTGAAGAATTTTTTGATGATTTTTTGCTTTTCCTTTCAACATTTTCAATATTTCACCCCACTCTCTTTTTGCTTTCATAGTTTCTTATCAAGAATCTGATGCAATTCTTATCCTTGTTATTTGATAAGGAAAGTGTTTTTGCTTTGATTTTTGTTTTTAGATGTCAAGATGTCTTTTGTTTTCTGTGGTTTAAACAGGATATGCCTACACGTAGGTTTTTTTTGTGTTTATCCTGACTGGTAGAGTCTGAATTTCCTGGATCTATGGTTTGGTGTTTTTCATTAATTTTGGACAATGGTTATTATTTATTTAAAATATTTCTCCTGTTCCTTTCTTTCTTTCTTCTGCTGACATTCTCATCACTAGTGTGTTATGCCTTTTGTAATTATCCCACAAGATTTTCTTCATTTTTTTCTTTGCATTTTCACTTGGAAGTTTCTACTGATATTTCTTCAAGTTCATTGATTGTTTCCTTCACTGTGTCCTGCGTATTGATGAGCCTACTGAAGGCATTCTTCATTTTGGTTACAAAGTCTTTGATTTCTAGCATTTCTTTTTTATTTTCTGTTTTATTTTAAATTTACTTTTAAGATATTTGTTTGGCTTGCATGGGATCTTAGTTGCAGCAAATGGGATCTTCACTGCATCATGTGGAACCTTTTGTTGCAATGCATGGACTCTCTAGTTCTGGTGTGCAGGCTTCAGTAGTTGTGGCACATGGGCTTAGTTGCTCTGCAGCATGTGGAACCCTAGTTCGGTAACCAGGGATTGAACCACATCCCCTGCATTGCAAGATGGATTCTTAACCACTGGACCACCAGGAAAGTCCCTTTCTCTTTTAGAGTTTCCATCTCTCTGCTTACATCTGTTCTTATCTCCTTTTTCCATCAGAGCCCTTAATATCTTAATCACATATTAAGTCACTTCAGTCGTGTCCAACTCTTTGCTACCCAGTGGACTATAGACCACCAGGCTCCTCTGTCCATGGCATTCTCTAGGCAAGAATACTGGAGTGGGTTGCTGTGCCCTTCTCCAGGGGTCTTCCCAATCCATTGATCAAACCCATGTCTCTTACATC